TCCTAACGTTGTTTCTTGTTAGTAGTGGATTTCACTCTAATTTATAAATTATGGTAACAAAGATTTAGTAGATTGAATACCAAGATCTTCATAAGTGTGTAAGGCGGAGACGTTACGTCAGCGCAGGTAGCTAACAACACCTCCATTCAAGAGGTCTGAGTAGCACACGACAAAATCTAGGTAAGCTGAAATCTTTTGGGGATTTGGGGAGCGTGAAGGCTCGTTGTATCCAAATGACGCTCTGCCGACGATGTTGCTGGATCAAGTCTCTCAAGTGCGATACAACGGGCGTGTGCCACCCAATATCTGAATGAGTCATAGGGATTAATGTAAGCTTGACCGGCTCGGCATAAAAAAGCGCTGTATTGGCCGTGCCATTGGGGGCTTCGCTGACGGTCTCTTTCTCCAACGATCACATCTCTCATCACCAGTAAAGACGGTTTAAAGGAGCAATACGAGGGCATTATCCTTCCAAGCGATCTGCTTCACCTAGAGAAGAAGACGATAAATCATCAGCCGAATTACAAGGCAGAATGCCGAGTCTTCCTACCTGAAGATCGACCGTTGGGATGACCTTGATCTCATTAAATTGCTAATACTGAGTTCCCCGCCTTATCGGCCTTTCTGGCGTCTGCAAGACCTTTTGTAGATGCCACAATTAGGCTGATCTGTGCCGGTTACACCATGGCCGTGCTAACAAAGGGAGCCGAAGAGGTCTGGTGACGAAAAGTGGTTATCGACGAAGACGTGATAGGTCGAATCCGACAGCAGGTTAATAAGGCAATGACGACACTTCAAGTTCAGTTCAGTTCAATGCTTTAATTTATCCATAGCTTCTGTGATGACGTGGGTAACTTCCTTGACCTCATCAACCTCGTTAGGAGCCCTCTGTTGGCTGCCTCTTCCGTTGCCTTTCCTCCTTGCTCGTTTTGATGCCGGCTTCTTTCTCTGAACACCAACTGGGCCGTGTTTTGCGCCAGGTTGGTGCCAAATCCACCTCACAAGGAGGCCTAGCTTGGCAGCTATCCAGACTTTGAGGGTTTTGTCGATAGGCTGG